GGTTCACATGCTGGTGTTTATTTCATTATTCTGTCCTTTGAGCAAAATCTTATGAGTAATAGATTAATCTGAATGAGCCATTCAGCGGCAAGACTTCCCGTAGTAGGAAGGGCTGTGCATAGAGGGGAAGGGAACGTTGCATGGGGTGGTTCTCCCTCCCCTTCGTGTGGTGGCCATGCCTGAAAGTGCAGAAGATGCAGAGCCTCCAAGAACTCAAGCATGGTAAGAAAGGGAGGGGTTTGGTTTGAGGCCTCAGCTGGGGCTTGTGGATAGCAGATAAAAGGGTGCTTTGGCAGTTATTGGCAGGGCATCACTAAGGACCCTCTGTATTTTTAATTCTTTTACTTGAAAAATGTGCAAATTTATATTTAATGAAAATAAATAAATAAATTGGAAGTTTAAAAATGGAAACTGCGGGTTGGCCATGACGTGTTTGCTCCCCAAATAGAGGATGGAAAGAGTTGCCCTCTGTTGGAAAGCGACAGTGCCAGGGTGAAGGGGAACCCACCATGTGTGTTCTTGCTCAGTTAGCTGTCCGTGCCCTGGGAGGCTTTGATAGAGGGAGGGGGTCACTCTGCACTGCTCCCGCAACACATGAGAGGTGGGTGGGCGCTGCGCTCACTCCTGCTCACTTCCTGCCTCTCCTCATAGTAGCATCTGTGTCCCAGGATAAGACAAGTTCATCTTAAAACTTATCAACCTTGTTGGTAACATGGAGCTTCACACGGTGCCCTCTCCCCACAGAGAGTGCAACAACATGGAAATCCAGGTGGACATAGAGACCAAGCCCAGCCATTACCAGCTTGTTAGTGGAAGCAGCACCGAGGATTCCCTCCATGTCCCCACCCAAATGGCAGAAAACGAGGAGGAGGAGGAAGAGGAGGAGGAGGAGGAGGAGGAGCAAATATGCAACCACCAAAGCTGTGAGCAGAAGGACTGCGTGGCCAGCAAGACCTGGGACATCACTCTGGCACAGCCCGAGAGCATCCGCAGTGACCTGGAGAGCTCGGACAGCCAATCTGACGATGTGCCCGACATCACCCTGGATGAATGTGACTCCCCCTTCCCCCAGACTGCTGCCTGCCTCCACCCGCCCAGTGCCCGCATTGGCCACTGTGCCCAAGCAGACGGACACCGGCCGGAGGAGAGAACGCTGGAGTGCCTTGAGGCCCGAGGGTGAAGCCCCTTCCCGACCACCCCCCCCCCCCCCCGGCTTCTGCTCCTGGTTTCCCGGGTAGCTGCCCTGATCCGGGCTCTGGGGACGTGGCTTTTCTTACCTGGGGATAAAACCTCAGTTTTCTTTTTTTTAATTTATTGATTTAAGCGCTTGGTGATGCTCAGTGAGTTCTGTAAGAGTGTACATACATGTGTGCGTGTATATCGTATGTTTGCCAAACACACACCTAAAGAATGCCTTTAATAAATATTCCTGTTTCATTCTCATTGGATCCCGTTTGCCCGTGGAATCTCTCTGGATTTCCCCTCAGGTCCTTCTCTGCTTCTGAAGCTCATTCCTTGAAGCCCCCTCCCTTCCCAGGCAGGGGTCCCTCTGGCCCGGGCAAGGCTTGGGAGTCAAAACATGCCTATTTGCTGCCCCCTAGAGGACTTTGCTCCGTGTGGTTGGATTTGGACAGGGATCCAACAGGATCCTGAGGCTGGCTGGGTTGGAGCAGGTGAGCTGGGGCCTCTAGTGCAGTGGTCTCCTACCAGTGGGTCAGGGACCACTGGTGGTCCACGAGAAAATTTTGGTGGTCCGCAGAGAAATGTCATCCCAAAGCACCCCCCAAAGCAATTAATCCAGGCTATGCGGGAACACAAGGCTGTGCCGCCCACATGGCCTGTGGGAACACAAGGCTTGCATCACTTGCATTGTGAACAACACGAAGTAGTGAGGGGAGGGGGGAAAGGCCAGAGGGAGGGAATTTGCCCCACTCACCCCACGCGCCTGGCCTGGCCACTGGGCTGCTTCTTTCTACTTCTTTTGCTTTTGGCTGAATGCAAGGAAAGCAGCAAAAGTCTTTCTTTCTTTGCCCCAAACTCCACCAGAAATGAATCTCTGGGACCCCGCAAGGCATCCTGCTCCAAGAGTCTGTGCCAGCGCAATAAGTTTCACAAAGACTCATTTCTGGCAGAGTTTGGGGGAGAGAAAGAAAGACTTCTGCTTCTGCTGCTTTCCTTGCATAAAGCCAAAAGTCTCTCTCCCCCCCCCCCCCCCCGAGAACAGAGCTGGAGACGGTATCCTGTGATCCCAAATAAAGAATGATCGATCAGTAGGAAAATTGCGGGGGGGTGGGGGTTCCTGCAGACTTTGGAATTTTCCCAGGGTCTCTGGTCCACAGGATTTAAAATTATGAGTTTGCTGGTCCCCGAGGTCCAAAAGGTTGGCGACCTCTGCTCTAGTGGGTTTGGAGGAATCGGAGGGCATCAGATTGCCTATTCTTGTTGCCTGAGATCCCGTTTTCAGATCTGGGGACTGGAATTGCCTAACAGGTTAACCCAGAAACCAGAAGAAAAGAGCAGTTGCTGTATTCGCCCAAACCAGTAACACCTCAGATGGCCTTCGAAGGGAGGCACACAACATTCTGAGACAAAAGCTGTGTTTCAGTAAGCTAAACAGCAAATGTTTTAATCTCCTTTCACCCTAGTCTAAAACGTTGTATGAATTCAGCCATAGGTAGTACAAATATTTAAAATAAAGTGGGTTTCTGGTTTTCAGCTGCAGAAAGGAAGAATATTTCGGAACGTTACATGAAATGCAAGAAGGGAAAAGAAGTATATTGTGGAACTGTCATATAATGAATGTGTGGTCTGAGTTTCCACTTCTTTTTAAATACTTTTTGCTCCATCCAAAAAGGGTAGGACTATGGAACCAAGGAATAGGTCCTTTGCTTTTTAACCCCCGGGTACTGTTAAATAGCATAAAATAAACCTTCGTTAGAAAGAGCAAAGAATGAAGAGATGGTGCAACACTTTATCAAGCTTTGTTTAAGGCCTCATCTCCCTTTTCTTTGTCCTGGAATAACAGGACATTGTTGCTCGTCTACACTTCTTCATGTAAATCTCTCATTAAATGTGGAGGAGGGCTTCTCAGACCAAGAGGATAGATCTTGGATGTTGTGAAGGGCAAGTGCAGATGTTGAAGGTAACCAAGTGGTGCAGATCATCCTTTCAGAAGGAGAAGTTTGCATATATTACATGTTTGAACGTTGAAAACGTTGACAGATGTTAGCATCTGTCTGCAGAGTTGCCTAATATTCCCATCTCAATACAGGAGACTGTTAGTAGCTCTGGTTTGAACTGTGAGGTCCTTGATACTCTCTGAGCTTGGTGGTTTTCTTGCAGATGTTTCATTACCCAAATTAGGTAATATCATCAAAGCTGATGAAGCTCAGAGAGCACCAAGGACCCCTCCCTCCCATCACATCCCAAAGTGGCACCAAGTCACTGGCTCTGAGCCCAAAGGCCCCAAGGCTGTGGACGCCTGCGCAGAATAGGAACCCAACATTTGGACTCCTCCAGGGAAGGGGAGCTGAGCCGTCATTCTCCCTGCCAGGCTGCTCTTCCTGCAAGGGAGGCTTTTCCTTCAGAAGTTCTTCCTTCTGACTTAAACCCATTCCTCCGTGGTTCCATTCTGGAGTGAAGAGACCAGATCGCTAGCTTCTCCTGCCACCAAATCATTACTGCTCCAAGTTCTTGAACCCCAAGAGGAACGTCCGATTGTCCTCAGCTTTACGGTCCCTTCAAATCAAGCCCTCCATTGCTTAATATCCTGTGCCTTCCTCTTGGCTCTGGAGGAGAAAGCGTTCACCGAGAGAAGCTGTGGGTTTCCCGGAAGGACCCGGAGGAAGTTTGTCTCCCAAGAGATGCTGGCATAATTACACTTCTTCCCCCATCCTCTCTTCGGGGGAAAGATCTGCCCCTGCCTTTTGCCTCAAAAATAAACCAGTTGCCTCTGGACAAGACACTGCATGGAAATCCCAGCACTCTAAAATAGGCTGGGAATTAAAAAAAAATTGGAGGAAGACAAGCCACTTGCACCCTCTTCTTACACCCGTCTTTCTCAGCCTCGGCCATTTCAGATGGGAGGCCTTCACATAGAATAGAACAGAATAGAATAGAATTCTTTTATTGGCCAAGTGTGATTGGACACACAACAAATTTGTCTTTGGTGCATAAGCTCTTAGTGTACATAAAATAAAAGATACATTTGTCAAGAGTCAAGAATCATCAGGTACAACACTTAGTTCATAGGGCACAATAAGCAATCAAATCATACTAGGAAACGGTCAATATAAATTGTAAGGATACAAGCGACAAAGTTACAGCCATACAGTCACAAGTGGGAGGAGATGGGTGATAAGGAGTGATGAGAAGATTAACAGTAATAGTAGTGCAGACTTTGTAAATAGTTGGACAGTGTTGAGGGAATTATTTGTTTAGCAGAGTGATGGCGTTAGGGGAAAAAACTCCTTGTGTTCTGGTGTGCAGTAGCATTGATTTGAGGGAAGGAGTTGAAAGAGTTTATGTCCGGGATGTGAGGGGCCTGTAGGTATTTTCTCTTTTTGACTCAGGGTGCAGGACGCAGGTCCTCCATGGAAGGCAGGTTGGGAGCCATTGCTTTTCATCCCAGAATTCCCCAGCCAGCAAGAGAGCTTAAAGTTGCCCCGGTAGAGAAATGCGGGCTTAGGCTGACTGGGTTCCACCGGCCCATGGAAGCCCAAAAACAGAAGCGCAGCCAGTCAGGGGAAGCCACTCGGGAAGCCACGCTGACACAAGGGGCTGCTCGGGACGCAGCTGCTCGGGCTTCGACGCCCAGCTGGACCCGCAAACCCCGTTCCCACCAGGGCCGGCCTCCTCTGCTTGCCCGCGGCCACCTGCCCGCCTGGCCCGGGGCGCGCCCAGCGCGGCGGTTGCTCCAGGAAGGAGGGAGCGGCTCGGCCGGGTGGGGCCAGCAGGTGAGTCACGTCTCCCGCAGGCGGAGGCCGAAGGTGGAGCCGGGCCTTTTCTTTGGGGCCCGCCTCCCAGAGACGGAGGGACCGAGCGGGAGGAGCAGCCACGGGGCCCACCAGACGCCGGAGCGCAGAGGAGCCCGGACAGGTGGCCGGGAAAAGCGCGCCGCTCCTCGGAGCTACTGCAGCGGCGACGGCGCGGCCGGGCGGGAGTGGAGTCGGCGGCCGGCCCAGCGGGGCGGGGCTGCGTTCCTCACGGGCCCCATGTGTCGCCTGGGTGAGTGGAGGCGCCCGGCTTGAGGGGAGGCGGGGGTGGCCGTCCGTCCTTGGGGGCCTCGGTCGGCCTTTCAGGCGTCCTCCGCCGGCCCCCGCGCTCCTGGGGAAAGGGGCCGCTCGGGATTGCGGCGGGGGAGAAAAGGGGCTGAAAGCGGGGCGGGCCCCTCTCTTCCCTCGCCCCCTCCCCACCCTCGGCGGCACAGCCACAGGCCTCTGGGTGCCCCTCACGCTCCAAGGCTAGGCGCTTCTTCCAGGGTTCCGCTGCAGGACGGTGGGAAGTCCGGGTTGGGTTCATAAAGGTGCATGGCGTGCCTGCCTTTTAGCAGGTCAGGAGTTTGAATGAGTATTTCCAGGATACATTGAACGGGTCTTTTAATTAGGAGACCATGCAGAGCAGGGGAAACAAATGTAAGCATTGCAATTAATATGAAAAGTAGTTTTCTTATGCATTAAATCCCAGGAGAGTGTTGGGAGAAAGTGATTAGCTAACATTAAATGGAAATCTTTGCTCTTTCAAGACAAAATTATCTTTATTTACTATTTTGGCTATCACTGAAAAATGCAAACAGTCTTTTCCAAATATGGTTAGTTTTGTTGTAGTTATCTTACACTTACTGGGGGCAATTCTACAGGCAACCTCTCCCTTAAAGGAATTTGCAGACAACTCTATGCTTGATTTATTTAGTATAATTCTTTTCAATCCAATAATGAGAGTTTTGGGGCCAGACTCCAAAACAGTTAATGTAAATGCAATTTTTGAATAATTAGGAAGAACATAAATTGAACTAAACATGGAAAAGTCATGTGCATTATTTAAAATTGATCTAAACAAACTTTCCATAATTAGAAAATTTTAAAGGCTGATGAAATGTCAAATCTTGTACGAAATGTTGCACAAAATACGCCTTAATGAGGCTTTCCAGTTGCCTGTCATGCACAAACTAAAACTGAATGCTGCATGGAGATAGTCTTGGTGGTCTAAAAGTCCTGAATTGGTTCTCTCTCTCTCTCCTCTCTCTCTCTCCTCTCTCTCTCTCCTCTCTCTCTCTCTCTCTCACACACACACACACAGTTATTTGCCCAGGATGAATTTAAAGTCAGGTGAACAAAAGAGATGGGCATTCAGCTGCCCAACCAGATTTTGGAGAAGCAGAGTCACCACACCATGAACCAGGAGGGCCTGACTGGCTGGCCAGTTGCATACCAAGCAGCCTCTCTTGCTCTCCTCTCCTCTCCTCTCCCCCCCCCCCTTTGCACCTTGTATAGATTTATGGGATGTCCTGGCCTCATTCCCTCGTCTGTTTAAGCAATGGTTAATCTTTAAAGGAAGTCCCTAGTTCTTTCCCAAAGGAAACACTGACTGCGCTGCAAACTTCCTTATGGCCCCTGGCTCAACCTGTGGGAGATAAGTTGGCTGGGGGAGCAAATGCCCATCCCTGCTGAGCTCATGGCACCACCACCCCAGTATTGTGGTGGAAGAGACCATGCATGGTAGCTGAATATGCTGGAGGCACAGCCAGGGCTGCCTATGGAAGAGTTCGATGTTCCTTCTGAAGGAGGAGGAAGAAGATGGTGCTTCTTCCTTCTCCAGACAAGAACAGCCAGGTGAAAACTCACAAAAGTTAATTAAAAATTGTAATCCAAGATAAAGACCTAGATAGGTTCATGGGAAGGGAGTCAACAGAAGAGTTGATCTGGTGCAGGAGTGGAGAACTGGTTGCCTTTGGATGTTCTAAATTTCATCTCCCTCCACATCTGCCTGTTGGCCAACTGATGGGGGTGGGTGGGAACTGCAGTTCAGCTGCTTCTGCAGGGTCAGACTTTACCTACCGGAGCAACAGCTGTCCAAAAGCTCTTGGCCACCCTCTTGAGGTGCTGGCCCTGGTTGGGCTTGCTGCTGTTTTTCCATCTGGATGCTTGAAGCAGCTTAGAGGAAGATTCTGAGTTTCTAGAGTCAGACCCAGAGACTCATTTCCACAGGAAAGCTAGATCAAGATGATATAAGTCATAATAGCAGCATTTGCAAGTCTGACTGTGCTTCTCCTGCTTATACCCAGTAAATTGGGAAGGCATTTGCCTTTTGGCTACTGTATTATCTTGCTTCCCAGGACTTCTTTCTGTATTGTTTCTTTGCCTAGGTAATGCTTCTTGCATATTTTTGTCAGGGAACAGCTCCTTTATTCTGCACATCTAGCTGCATCAGAGCGTTTGCCATAGCATGCTTTTTAAAGCTTACCTTAAATTGCATTTACAGACCTTTTATTTTTGCTTTAATCAATCTAAAACATTTGATGTTCCCTGAAATTGGGCATAATCAGCTGTAAATAAGCTCAGAAGAGCAGTCCTATAAATTGTTAGGAAAAAAACCATCTGGACAGACTCCATTATAAGAAGTCCTTGTTATTACTGTTCTTTGCCCCTTTATTGACCTTTATTGAAGCCCCTCACTTATCCCAGACTGGCTTAATTCATACAGGAGCCTTTGGGGAGGGATGTTGACAAGTAAGTCCCAAAGTCCAAGTAAACTATGTTCATCAGGTGATCTCTGTTGGTAGCTTCCCCCATCCCACCCCCCCTTGCTCTCCAAGACCTGTAAAATGCCTGTGAGATGTGACTTGCCTCCAAAATATGTTCACCATGTTTCCAACCCTTAACTGACTATCTGGAAGTGAAACCCTCCTTGTCACTGAGGATGCTTCAGAAAAGAGTTAAGGAGGGATGAGGTTGGCCCCCGCATTAGGATCAGAGATGCCTCTTGAACTTGACTTCACAAGGGGCGGCATGTCTAGTTCCCTCCGCCTTCTGTTCCTAACAGTCTCCTCCCTTCCTGCGATGCAAAACTGTACACTGGAACAAATGTGTTTCTTTCTTAGATAAGCTTGACACCAGCAGCTCCCAGAAGCTCTTGATGAAAACAGGACTCATCCTGATTGTCATTGGTCACCTGAACTTCATTTCAGGAGCCCTGGTCAATGGAACGGTCTTGCGCCACATTGCCAACCCTCAAGATACCATCTCATTGCAGTATGCCATTTCTAACATCATTTTGGCTATCTCAGCCGTCTTGGTAGGTAGCCTGGTTTATGTGATACCGGAGGGATTGGCGGAAGGACCAACCAGTCCCATCTCCCTGCTCTGCTGCCTTGCAGGGCAGACCAAAGCCAAGCTCATTCTTCCTCCCAGATGGTGTGGGGTCCCCTGATAAGTTAGCCCCCAATCAAAAAAGTCAAATTATTACCCATTCAACTGCCAACACTATTTCAGAGACAGAAACGGAGCAAAAATCAGTTACTGGTTTTGATGGGCACCCACAAAATAAGTGCCCTCTGATCTTCTTTCTGTCTTAATGATAAAGTTGGGAATTGTGCCAAATGTGGTATTGTGTTGTGACTGGAGTTGGAATGATTCTGCAGCAGCAAAAGGCAAGCATAATTCCAAAGCTATTACCTTGCCAGAGATTTCAAATTCCTTCGAATAATAGAACAATCACTTTAGATCTTGGGATCTTCAAAGCTAATTCCTGCAAAGCCATCAGCTGTTCTCAATTTGCTGAATTTTTCTCCTGAAGACAACATCTGGAGAGGGGAATTGTATCACCATACTGTAATCTGCTGCTGCTGCTCTTTGCATGGGGTGATTTCCTGGTTTTCTCTTTACAGACAATATCCTGTGGAATAGCAGCCATTGTGCTTTCCAGATACCTCTCCCAAAAGTCACTGGTAAGCAATTTTGTCCCTGTGGCAGTTTGGAGCAGAAATGTCTCCAGTCAGAAAATGAGCTAGGTTTCTGGATAAGAGTTCCTGAATAGGCTACACCCGCAACTGTTTGCAGAAACTCTTGCTAAATCCTTTAGGAAAGAATGGCTTAACCTTGAGCCTCATTTCTTCTCCTCACCACACCCATAACCTGCTTGCCCTGAGGGCCATCTGGATCTTCACTCCCTGCCCCACCTGGAAGATAACACCCCAGAGCAGGCAATAACGCCATAAAGTGATGCTGTAAGTCAACAGCTTTCCCAGCTACAGAGGGCATTTTTGTAGTTCCCTTATAAAATTTTATTGGGAAGGAACTATAAGTAGGCCTTTGCATGCAGCCCTGCTTGGCTTATTTACTATATTTTGAATTTCCCAGTAAGGGGAAAGTTTTAGTCAGACTACAAAACTGCTTATATAAATGCCTCTACAAATAGAATAAGAAAAAATAATGAACTAAAATGTAGAGAAGTCATATGAAAGATGTGCAATTATCTAACATCCATCAATAGCAATAGCCCTTAGACTTATATACCGCTTTATAGTGCTTTTACAGCCCTCTCTAAGCAGTTTACAGAATCAGCCTCTGGCCCCCAACAATTTGGGTCCTCATTTTACCAACCTCGGAAGGAGGGAAGGCTGAGTCAACCTTGAGCCTGGTGAGATTCAATGCAAATTATTTCCCTAACGTGCAAATTCTAAAGGCTGCTGTAGTGGAAGATTCATGTCACTTATATAAAAATGCACTAATTAGAGACTATCTAAAATGCAGATCAATATCCAGGAAGCATAAAAATAATCTTCCATGGCTTCCATTCTGTGATAGTTTCCTTAGGAAACATTCAGTTTGCCATTATCATGCTGGAAGAACCTAAGTGTCATTTCTGGCAGGATGATTGCTTGATTGATTAATTGTAACTGCCTGCTCCAAAACTTTCTGGGGAAGAATTTCTCCACTCTGTGAACATGAAGCCCTTTAGATCAGTGTTTCTCAGCCAACATGGGGGATCTCAATTTTGCTAAGGTTGAAAAAAAACCTTGCTTTAGACCAGGGCTGTCAAACTCATGGCCCACTGGCCGGATGTGTCATGCACTGGCCATACCCACACCCGGTTTAGCAAAGGGGGAAAAAGTCCAGAAACATCATGTGACGCCAACGTGATGATGTGAGTTTGATGTATCGCTGCTTTAGATTGTTTGGATACTAGTTCCCAGATCTTCCCGCCATTTGTGTTGGACTCCCGTTCCCAGAGTTCACAATCCTAGGACTGTTGGAATCGAAACCCAAGACGTTTGAGTGGTATCCCATGTGGCGTCTTTTGAAATTCTCAGGCGCCTTCATATAATGTCGTTTGAGTCTAGGTCAGCTTGGTTCACCCATGATGTGGACTTGACCGCTCTTCCCCAAACGTCAAGTGACTTCTGAACTGTTCTGAGTTTGACCTCTGGCTATAGAAAGCCATTTTGCCAGTTTCACCTATCACTATGTTCACTTCACAAACTGAACCCCAAATAACAAGCCATATTTTAACATAATACGTTGTGTGTTATATGAATTTGGAAAGTTGTGTTAATTTTGTGAAGAGGCTAAGCTAATTGGCACATTGTGCTTTGTAAACTATGACCTGTGGCTTATCCTCTTCCCTGAACCCTCCTCCTCCCTCTGTCTCTTGTGGCAGCCCCTCCCCTCCGGATTGCCCCCCCACCCCGTGCCACTCTGGGTGTGCTCCAGAGTACGAAGGTTGGGAGATTAGATGTGAGATTGTTATTGTGGAGTGTTTGTGCGTTTGTCCTCAGCAGCCATTGGTTATTCTGTTGATATGTTTTTCCTATTGTTTTGATGTGATGATGACTTCCCAGAGTTACACCTGGGAGACGGGGGAGCATGTAAAACCAACGTAAATAATAAAATAAGTCAATAAAGGTAACGGTGAGTGTGTGGTCGCTTCCCACTTCTCTTTCTTTGCAGGGATGGGCTGTTTTCTCCCTCAGCATCATCAGCAGCCTCCTCTCGCTCTTCTGCCTGGCGGGGCTGGCCGTGGCCATCGGCCTGACCTTTGCCAACCGGGGCCACGCCCTTCTGTCTGTGTGCACTTTTGCCGACATGGAGGTCATTCAGATCACCCACGAGTGCCCCTTCGATCCCACACGGATCTATGTAAGTCTGCCCAGAAGGACCCGGAGCTCCTGCTACCTGAAGGGGGCTCTGGTGGGGGAAGGGCTTCTCTAGATCCCGGGGCTTCATCTTCCTGAAGTGGATCCCGGGGTGGGGGGTGGGGGTGGGGAGGCTCAGCGATACTTTGGAGGCGTCGTTTTTGCCCTGCAACTGGGTTGCTCAGCACCCTGGACAGGATGGCTCATGCTACGGGTGGGTGGCTCCGTCAGCGGAGCCGTGGTTTCCACCTCTGGTCTTCCCTTCCCTCTCCTCAGAGTTCTGCCCTGGTCCTCTGGGGGCTCTCCTTTCTCTTGGACTCCGTGGAGATCCTCTTCAGCATCCGTTGCTTTCTTCTCACTCTTACGGTCCTGAACCTGAAGCTCTGTCCCCGGAGGAGGAGGAAGCGCAAGAAAAAGGTGAGCCTTCCTCCGGAGGCCTCTGTCCCCCCCCCTGCAGAGTTGGAGGAGGACAGTTTTGGGGGGGGGAGAGAAGAGAGGCCTGCCCAAAGTCCTTCCCCCTGCTTTGGGCAAAGGCCTCTTATATGCTTCCGCCCCTCCTTCCCCTCCACAACATGCGGCCGTTGCTCTGCTTCCAAACGGCTGCATTCTGTTGATGGCCAAACGGTGACCCAGAGCAGCTCCCCAGAAGAAAGGAAGGCCCAACGCCCAGCTTCTGGGCTGGGATTCTGCAGGAGCCGATGGTGCTTTTATCAGGCCTTTAGTGGAGATGTGAGCCTTGGAGGCTTTTGAATCCTGTCTTAGTAATCAGGCCAGATTGAAATAGTTAGTTGTTTGCCACTTGCTCCAATTTGCATTTCATTAAATGTGGCCTTACCAAAAAATACCTGTTGAAAACAGGCAGCTCCACTGCTGCCCTCTTGGCTTCAGAGATGCCCAGCCATGCCCCGGTCAGCAGAGGAAGGGCAGGGAACGGGCGCAGGCAGGACGGGAGGGGTCCCTTCGGTCCTTAAAGCTTCTGAAAATGGGCATTAGCTGAAACACCCGGACAAAGAAGGGAGAGGCTGCCTTGATACCATTGGCCTCTAGGGGGAGCTTTGCTTGTTAGAACCCAACCTCACATGTGACCCCCGGAAGCTTCTGCCATCGGAGATGCAGCCCGGTTGCCAAGCGCCCAAATTCTGGCCAGGCGAGTGGAAGGGCTGGTTGTGGTGTAATGTCGGTCACTAAGCTGATGGTTGTAAATGGAGAAGTGCTTGTGTATCACCATCTGCCGGGGGGGGAAGGGCTGGGCCCTCCTGTCAGCGCAGTGCCGGGCGCCAGGGGCAGCAGGGGGCCTGTGTCCGGCAGGCTTTGGTTCTGGGTGCTGCGAAAGGGTTCAGTGGGCAGGAGAGGCACAGCTGCAGGTCCCCTCCCAGCCCAGAGCCCAGCCCAGGCCCACCCTGGAGGGTTGTGCCCTGCAATCGGGACTGAGCGGACTGAGGGGCGGTCTCGGCCTGTCTGTTGGCTGATGCCGCTGCTTTGCCTCCAAGATCTCGCTGACGTTCATCCCCGCTGAGAGCAGAGACGCCTGCGAGGGACGCGACCTGCTGAGGATGGAGCGCTTGCGGGTTGTGACGCTGTAGAGGCCCAACGGGGTCGCTCAGGTGAGCCTGGCAGGCAAAACCCTCACGGACTCCTCCCGACTGTCCCTGGTCCCCATCTGGCCTCGCTGACCGCTGGGAGGCCTGGAGCCTGCCGGGAGAGATGACCAAGGCCTGCTGCTGCTCCTGCTGCTGGTTCCAGGCAATGGACAGCCTTGTGTTTGTGCATTTCTCCTGCTCACCCCCTGGATGTTGTTTCCCGCTCTGACTTCTCGAAAGAGGCCGTGAGCTCTTCCTCCTCCTTCCTTCCGAGGCACACACAGGTGCGCCTACCCTCACCTGAGATTCTCCTGGGATGGCCAGGCCGGAGGTTGCAGCATTGACCAGGACATCTGGACGGGGACACCTGGCCGCTCTCCTCAGGGAGGGCCAATGATGCTCTGCGTC